CTTAAAGACTATAACTTTGAGAAAGAGAAGAAAATTCTTCAGTTCAACATTTCTTGGGATGGGGTGTTTGACACAAGAAGGAGGAGAGCCTGGCGTTAGCCGGGCGATCCGACTGGTATTAAATACACCCGATTTAACGTTTGCGTCCGTGCATTGCGTTTAGTTTGTTGCGTTTTTCAATTAAAACCTTTTTTGAGTGCTCCCAATGGGAGGCTCACCAGCAACCACGATTTTTGGCCGTCACTTAATGATTTAGTGATCTGATAAGATTTGAGTCCTTTTTTGGGGTTTTTTCGGTGAGAACGTTCTAAATTCTACCTGTCCAATAAATGAAGGGGTAACATGAGGTCATATTTGCAAGCAATTTCACGCTAATCAAATAACTAGCAATAGTTCTAAGTGATGACGTAGGCAGATGAGAAAATTACAAGTCTACTGATTGACGGACCAGCTGCTTATCACATAGCTATAATATTTCACGTTACACACCTCCACCCTATGTATCAAGACAACGTGGGGTAGTTGCGCCGATGAGACTTGCAAATGCTGAGAAGTAATGAATTAAGCGTTATTCTTCCCTTCATCTTTGCAGTCTATCTGCATAAGGTTCCTGTTTGCCCTTGTAATTGTTTGCCCTTCATCACCCCGCGTTCCCGGGATTCGGGCAGTTTAGGCCATCACTCCACTGCACTTCACCTTTCTTCATGGCTCGTCACGGCCATTTTTTATCCCAGCTGAAGAAAAAGGTACTGATCGTATTTCAGCATGTACATATTTTCGCACCTTAACTCTCGCAGATTCAAGTTGAAGGTCGGAATGAACAAACCTCATCCAATCTAAGTGCAGCGCACCCAACTTTCCCTTTCTGACATAATTCAGATGCGCATTCTTTTTTGCTTTGTTTCCGATTTCGCTCTGGAATACAGTTTCGAATACTTTCAGAAAATTGGGAAGATGTTAAGAGGGGAAGAATGTTATCAAAATTAATACTAGCTTTGTGAGAAAAGTTGCTTGCATTTTCCTGTTTCTGAGGTGAAATTGCCCATGTATGCTGTAAATGTACGGTAACAATATTGCTTATTTCTAATAAAGTCAGCCTATTCAGAGAGGAAGGAATATGTCGTAGGAATAAGCGATTGTAACAGTAAATGTATGTTAAATATGGTAAGTCAAATTCACGCCCCTTTACCACTTAGAGTGCTTCAAACCGGAAAGTTCGGCCGTTGGTATCCAACCCATCTGAAACAGATTTTTTGGCATTTATCCGTCATCATTTATAGTCCTTTGATGAACCATATTATTGAACTGACTTAAATTCTCACTCTTTCATAGTAACTCTAATCCATTTATCAACGCACTGGAATTGTACAGTATTAAGCTTTCCCCCTACTTTGTGGCCGCCACGCTCCGAGATTTTGCTCTTCCTGAATTATCAGCATATCATATCATGAGTTGGCAATCATTGCTGAACGAACAAAAATCATGAGAACTTTTTGGTTCTTTTTTACTGTAGGTTTTTGAAATTTGTCATAAAAGATACTTGTGGGGGTACAAATATATCTGGGTTTTGGCTACGTCCTAACTTGGTGACGGCGACCGCTTGCAAGCAGCCATTTTCTACACTGGCAATGACTTCACCTGTGTCTTAAAAGTTCAATCCTGAGTATTTCACGCGCTTTCATTGTGTAGTTCACCCCTCTCTAGTTTCAGTGTGGCGCCGTGTTTATGGCGAATGACGCCTTCCTGTTCCTGTTTACGGCATTAACCCATGATCATTAACTCCATTTCAGGTGCCGGCAGCAACTTCTGCAATTATCACAAATGACGGAGTCGGAATTAATCCTTCACAGACTGCCGGGAATATTTTCTTGAAACATGGAAGTGAGCTGCGATTGATTCCTCGAGATCGTGTAGGCGCTTTTTCGAGTCTGGGATGCCGATAAGCAGTAGCGTTTCAACTAGAAAGTAATATATTTCTTGGAAATTTCCCAGATATAACTTTCTGTTATGTTTGTCACTTTTCAATTTGTCCAGAGTATTTATTATGTGATCGTTTAACTTATTGCTGTGATTTTCTGTACAATTCTATTTCTGTTGTGGGCTGTGCTGCTGAGTAAAGGTTTCTCTGCCATTTGAGTATAACTTATCAATAGTTATTTGAACTTCCATAACTTCAGATAATGACAGTAATTCGTTACAATGTCGCTAATTCAATTAAATAATTTCCTACAGATATAGAATGCAGTTGAGTCCGTCACAAAAACAGTTCATCATAAAGACAGTCAACGTCTCAACGTTCGCATTCCAATGGGGATTCGTTCCATTCGTCGTGTATCTCGGTTTTAGGAAAGGTCCTGAACCACTACCAAATGGACAGGTGGGTAACTACATCATCTGTCCTTCCAATGTATGAATTATAGAGCAATTCCATGTTTGATGTCCTTTTGAGCCTATCCTCAACTGTCTTTGTCCCTCGTTTCTGTTTTGTATAGTTAAGAGTTCCTTTTATCACAGTGGTGGAAAGCATTTTTGATCCTTGCAGCGAACAACTAAATTAGCCCTATAACCTGTCTTGCCGTTAATCGTCGATTTTCTCGAGCGGGCGCCAGTAACGTCTCCATTCGTCCCTGTCACGAGCCAGAGTGGTCCAATGAATCGCTCCAGGGACACGAAGATCAACATTCCTTTCGTTCAGAGCTCTCGTGAAGAAGTCTGACCATCTCGTTGGCGGCCGTCGTGGAGTTTGTTTGATGTCCCGAGGGATCCAGACAGTAACCGCCCTGGTCCAACGATCATCACTATCGCATAACGTTTCCGGCCCACCTGATCTTCGATTTTTTGGCGTATTCAACGGCATCTGATCTTCGTTCGTTGACGGAGATCGGAACTCCTAATTTTCTGCACTTGCGTGTACAGGGAAATTCCGAGCATCGTCCTTTCCAAAGCGCGTTGAGTAACGCTGACAGCATGCTCATCCTGCTTTCGTCCAGGTCTCCGAGGCGTACGTCAAAGCAGGAAGGACAG